CATCTGTAACTATGTCAGTCGGTATGTATATTGCCCTGAAGATAGATGCTAGGCAGCCTTATTTTGATAACCCATAGTAGGGGAGAGAAAAAAAATGTTTCAAGGTTATACTGTGTTCTCCATCAAATCTTGACAAAAATGAGTTCTTTGAATCCTTCTTTAGATACTGATTTGCTTTTTCCAATATTTTACAGAATAATTGAACCTCTGACATCTAGATGTTCTAAATTCCGCTTCAAACCTCTGTCAGATAAAATTCAACAGCAGCGATTACTAGACATTGCTGATAAAGAACATGTCAAAATTAGCAATGAGGTAATTACTAATTATTAGTTATTGTAACTACTGATTTCTTTGATGAATGCCTATGAAGAGGCCCTGAAAGGAGTCTGATGTGCGTTGCTTCAATTTCTGATGCCAATTCTTCAGGCAAAGTTAAACTAAATGAACAACGGTTGGAGTGTCTAGAAATTACAGGTTGTCTTTTTTATTGCCATTAGAAGTTTATTATCTGTCAGCATTTTAGAGACGAAAACTAGGGCAGATTTCATACATATAAAGCAAATTCTGCAACAACAAATCTCTGCGTGACAAGATTCTAGTCTCCTAGCTAGTAACTCCACTTCAAAAACTGGTTTGGTATGATGAAATTCTGATAGTGATAAAATATACAGGCTTCTTACTCATTATAACAGAATTGAACCATAATTTGAATTTTCTTTGTTTTGTTTTAGTGAAGGAAATTGGATTACAAGTATGGTACATCTCTGTAAATTTCTTTCATAGGCAAGAGGTCTCTATCCTTTCACTGGACTGAGGCTGTCTCCATGAATTCTGCTGCTATAGGACTGATAATATTCCCTCAAAAAATGGAAATGTTTTATTTTTCTCCACTAACTCTAGGATAAAATATAGTGTTTTCACCTGATTAAAATCAGAAAGCCTTAATTGGTCACCATAGGTTAAAAAAACACAAACAAAAAAACTTTTTTCCTTTAGGGAGTGTCTTGTCTTGTTAAAATATCAGAAGGAGACTTGAGAAAGGCCATTACATTTCTTCAAAGTGCTACTCGATTAACAGGTGGGAAGGAGGTCACAGAGAAGGTGATCACAGACATCGCTGGGGTAAGAGCACTATTGATTTTGAAACTCTTTTTGGTGGTTTTGTGACTTTTAGGAAATTTTCATCCAACAAGTATGTATATACAGAGTGAGTGTTTATGTGCTTAGTCCATTCAGGCTGCTATAACAAAATATCAGGCTGTGTGGCTTACAAATTCAGTTAATAGTTCTGGAGGCTGGGAAGTCCAAGATCAAGGCACCCAGCTTCAGTGTCTAAGGACCCACTTTCTAGTTAATGGACCCCTAATTCATAAATAGCCTGCATCTTCCTGTGGCAGAAGGGAGCTCTCTGGGCCCTTCCTTTTATAAGGACACTAATTCCATTCATGAGGGCTCAACCCTTATGACCCAATCACCTCCCAAAGGCCCCCTCCAAATATCATCACTTTAGGGATTTTCTAGCATAAATCAAGGTCACAGTGAGTCCATAGCATGTGCCAAGTACTGTGCTAGGTAAGTGAATACCTGGGAGTATCACAATGCTTTAGGCATGTGGCAGGTCATGATTTAAGATAGCCCTATTCTGTTAAAACAAAATGGAGTGTCATACCTCTCTTTAGATACTCCAGCGTCAGACCTTATCTCAGCATTTTCACACTGTAATAAAACAGCATTAATCCCTTTTCTGGGCATTAGGGCCATATTAAACCTATCATTGTTAGTGCCATCTTTCTTGGAGAAAGGGCAAGCCCCTCTGAGACTACTTTTCAAATTACTCGATTTTGACAACAGCTCTGAAGAATGATAGCCAGAGGGCCTATACTTAAAAAATGCATCACCTTTACTGCATAGTAGTAACTGGACTCTGGATCACCCCTCTGAAAGGCTTACATTACAGCTGGCCCTTTTTTCCAGTTCCTTGCCCTCTCAATGCTTAGATTCAGTATCAGGATAGCAGCTTTATGCGCTATATAATAGGACCCAATGAACTAACCAAGCATGAACAGGAGGGAGTGGGCATAGTTTGGCAGAGGAATACACCAAACTGTCTTCACCTTGAAAATATCTTTTTAGGTGATACCAGCCAAGACAATTGATGGAGTATTTGCTGCTTGTCAGAGTGGCTCTTTTGACAAACTAGAAGCTGTGGTAAAGGTAAAGGTAAAGGTACTTTTACCAACTTTGGGGAGAGAAAATTCAATGTTGACACCAAATGTCTTTTGTTGTTACAGGACTTAATAAATGAGGGTCATGCAGCAACTCAGCTTGTAAATCAACTTCATGATGTAGTTGTAGAAAATGACGACCTTTCTGATAAACAGAAGTCCATTATTACAGAAAAGCTTGCTGTAAGTAGGCATTTTTGCACATTTCAGCAAAACATTTATACCTGGAAAGGAAATTACTACCCTTTTCTTTTTCTTCTAGGAAGTAGATAAATGCTTAGCAGATGGTGCTGACGAACATCTGCAACTGATTAGCCTCTGTGCTACTGTGATGCAGCAGTTAACTCAGAATTGTTAACACCATGTTTAAATAAAATGAAGGCCCTGGCTGGTGTGGCTCAGTGGACTCGGCCTGCGAACCAAAACATCACTGGTTCAATTCCTAGTTGGGGCATGAGAGGCAACCACACATTGATGTTTCTCTCCCTCTTCCTCCCTCCCTTCCCCTGACTATAAATAAAATCTGTAGGAAAAAAAAAAATGACCAAAGCACCTTTAAAGTGAATATACAATTTATTTAACATTCAAACTTCATTAAGACATGTGCAATATGGCAATTTTACTGGGGGTTTAACCCTATCTAGGATATGATTGCTTGCTGGGGCTTAGCAACAGGGTCCAGTTCACACTTAGCACTAATTAAATACTTTATTGAATAAATACCAACAAAATGCATTCAAATGCTTTCTAAAAAAAAAAAAATCAATTGTAAAGGCCTTCTATTCAGGCTAATGACAAAATACAATAAAGGCAGATAAGCTAGTTTAACATAATTGGCTGATTTTATACAGCACTTATATCTTTTAGTCCACAAGTATATTATTAAATGATAGAGAACATCTAATACAACCATTTCTACAGAACTAGGAAATAAATTTCTAAGAAAGAAAGATTTTACAGACCCCATCTTTTATACCCAACCCCAACAGTCTAACTCTAAAGAGGATAAAGCCAATGACTTTCCTCACAAGAGCTCACGACTTAAGTCGCTTTGCTATCAAAATCTGTATTTCTGATCCGTTATGAGCATTGAGACAAGATTCAAATATTCCCAAAGAAAGAAGCACAATGCACGTTGTGATCGCCTATTCAGCAACAGCGAGCACTGCATTCAAAACTATCTCATCCCAGGAATTAAATAAGGTCAGCCACATTCATTGGCATTTCCTCCACTGTAGTATTGTAGAAAGTCTCAATGTCACGAAGAATCCTCTTGTCTTCTTCAGTAACAAAGTTTATAGCCACACCTTTCCTCCCAAATCGACCCCCTCTGCCAATTCTGTGTAAGAAAAGAAATCAGCAATTAGAATGTTACTTCTAACAGAATGCTTGAACTACTGAACATGATGATCCACTTGTTAACCATCAGCTGCTGTTTACTTAATCAAGGTTACAGTTCGTGCTTCTAATTGGAGCACTATGTGCTAATCAATATCTAGAGAAAAAAAACTTTCCTTTGCAGTTAGTGCCAAAAGGATTCAAGGCTTTTCTGGCTGCAAAATGAGATTTTATCCGGTGTCTTGAGCATTACTATGTTTAAAGCAGATGACAGTATTGTGTTTGGGGTAGTGTAATTAAAAAGCCCATACCAAAGTGGGCCAGCCAAGAGCAGAAGTCAGCCTGGGACAGATGTAAACACACCAGGGATAAAACAAGAAGAACAGTTATGTAATCCATATCGACGCACTTCTGGAACTGTAAACTGTAAACACAAATGCTGCAAGGTTAACTACTGTCTAAAACAACTTTTTCCAGTGGGAAAACAAGTATTTGGTATGGTAACCCAAACTCATCACTGCTTTTTTGCTCAGTTTCACACGTTATAACTCAAATTACTCAAACGTGTTTACCTCCGAAACGACTTTCTACCTTCCTGATAGAAACCAGACAACACAAACCACCTAACAAGCTAATATACAAAAAAAATAAAAAAAATATAGAAAAAAAAAGCCTTGGCTGGAGCAACTTAAAATATCAAATAATCATGACAAAAGAAAAATATAAATACCGACTCGCTCTTTATTCAAACAGTGTGCTGTTTCGCTTATGATTCCACGTCCTAAATTACGTCAACGCCGTTTCTGAGTGCCATCTCGTCATCAACTGCTGCTATCGACTCCTGTATTTTTTAAAAAGTCTTTTTTTACATCATATAACAAAGTACAATTCAATTTATTTAGGGATAAAGCCACTAAAACTAAACCAGGGACTGCTCAAAATTCTACCAGATGACACCAAGAAAATCCCAACTACAGAGTGATCACCAAGAAAGCACATGGACACACAAGAGCATCACTAAAAATAAAGCTCAAAAATAAACTAAGACCAACAGATCTAAAACACTAATTCATGTATGTACGAAAGCCCACAATTTGGGCAACATTTACAACTGTTTTCCCACTGTGCGTGACCAATCTTCCCAGATACAATTTTAATTACATCTTACCAAGTTACTATGTCTACTGACTGAATCAATTTCCTGATTTGAGATTACCTTTCAGACAAATCAGTCAGTAGAAACACAATGCATGAATTCGTTTTACCAGTACAGTAACAGTCAAGGTGCTATCTACTCACCTGTGAATGTAGTTTTCACGATTGGTAGGTAGATCATAGTTTATAACCAATGACACTTGTTGCACATCAATCCCACGAGCCTGAAATACAATGGTATGATGTTCAAATGCTAATTAAAAAACTAGACACATATGCAATGTAGGCCACAAAATAGTAGTGAACTATACGTTTAGTGATATAGCCCACTGTGGAGTGTGGTCTTTATTCTCCCAAACAGCCCAAACTGGTAAAGGTTATTAAAAAACCTTCCCCTAAAAAACTTTTGGTAAATGGAAAACAGTAAGACTGACTGACTTACCAACAAGTCAGTAGTGATCAGAACACGGCTTGACCCTGATCGGAACTCCCTCATGATAACATCTCTTTCCTTCTGGTCCATGTCACCATGCTGCAAATTAACAGACCTTAATTCAAGAATCACCAGTCAAATCACTATTTAATTTTAACGGTATGTATGAGACCAAGCGTCCCTGGCTGCTAGAGAAGTATGGCAGACAGGTATAGTTAAGAAACAACTTTATTTTGAGCAGGGGGAACGACAACACAGCACTTAACAGCTATATTGTAGTTTGAATCCTGCTTTAATGAAATAATGTAAATTACCATTATTAGATTAAACTCTTCTTACCAGAGCAGAAACTGTGAAGTCCCTGGCATGCATTTTCTCAGTGAGCCAGTCCACCTTGCGCCTTGTATTGAGAAAAATGACAGCCTGTGTAATTGTCAGTGTCTCATACAAGTCACAAAGTGTATCCAACTTCCATTCCTACAGTATTTCAAAAAGAAAGCTAAGTCACTAAAACAACTTAGTTTCAACTTACAATCATTAGAAACTCAGTTAGGCTACTCTAAAGATATGTTGCACCAAATCTTAAGACAAAGGACACTGGACATTAAGAAAGAGGTCCACCCCAGCCTTTACAGTCTGGTGCAGTTACTTTTCTTCTTGTGTGTACTCTGCTAGCATTATTACAAAAACCAAGATGTAATCCTAGTTTCTGCAATTTTAGCACAGTGCTTATACAAGAAGGTCAGAAACCTAGCTACATTATTTGTTTAATAATCAGACAAATTACCTCTCTTTCAACATTAATATAAAACTGCTTAATTCCTTCAAGAGTCAATTCCTCCTTTTTCACCAGAATTCGAATTGGATCTCTCATGAATTTTTTGGTCACTTCCAACACATCAGTTGGCATCGTGGCAGAAAGCAACACAACCTTTAAAAAAGATGGTGACGTTGTCATACAAATAATTAGCACAACTTTCATAATACTCAAAAACAAAACCACATGTTTGAGACCAAGCGTCTCTGTCTTGCTATGGAATTGTGCTAGACAGAGATAGTTATGCATCAATTGTTTTAAGCAGGGGGAACGACAATAAAACACTTCAGTTGTATTGTAACAGTACCTGCATTAAACCTAATCTCCAGCTATTGGGGGTGTGTGTGTCAAACAAAGCTCACCTGAATACTTGTGTTTAATTTTTGGAAAATCTCATAGATTTGATCCTTAAATCCCCGGCTCAACATTTCATCTGCTTCATCCAAAACAAACATTTTGATCCATTTCGGAGCTGTTAAGAAATAAGTTATACTATCATCTCTAAATTCTCAGGAATACTATTTGATTTTTAAATTTATAATAGTAAAAAAATTGTACTCAATTGACACCAATACTTACAAAGATATCTTCTGTTTAACATATCAAACACTCTCCCCGGTGTACCAACAACAATATGTGGTGCTTCAGCCTGCAGTTTTTGCATTTCGTTGCGAACATTGGTTCCACCAATGCAGGCATGACAGGTTGCTCCCATGTAGTCTCCAAGTGCCAGAATTACCTTTTGGATCTAAAAGACAATAGCTTCAATTATTGTCCAACAAAATTACAGGCTTTGACTAAACTTCCAAAGCATAATGGCAAATATCTGGTCTGCAAACAGCTTTTATGCATGCATAGCACTTAAATACTTCCAAGCTTAAAATGCAGACTGATTTAACTACTTCACGATAAAATTCCCTTTAAATGTCTTCTTATGCCTTATCAAACTTGGGATCCTACTGCCCCAGGTACCAACTAGATCAAGAACTAAAAACACATCCTTTATTCTTCATTGTGTAGGAAGATATAAAAGTGGGTCAAGCACTGCAATTACAGCTAAGACAAGCTGTTGATACTTTTCATTTTTCACACAGGGCAGTGACATATGATCTTGACCTCAATAAAGCCTATAGTTTTATTAGCAATGTGTATGTCAAAGCCTGTATTAGCAGTGAGCTTTTAAAATATCATGCAAACAGATGCATCACTAACTAGTAACACGTCACTGCAGTTTTCATGTTGCACAACTGCATTTAAACTTAAAAATGAGACCGATCTAATCCAGTCCACCTTGAACAGAAAGCTTTGGTTTCTCCATCTCTTACATGACCCTGCAAACCAAACTTGCATGCCCAGGTCCTATTTAACTTCAAACAAAAACTCCCTGCATGCACGACAGTTAAAAGGAGGGCTCTAACAGGATCAATTTATACTAAGTTTTAAATTCTTCCATTGTGAAACCTGAAACCTATGCAACACGCAAGCATTTTTTTTTTTTGAACTACACTATCAATACCTGTTGTGCCAGTTCTCTGGTGGGGGCCAATACTAGTGCTTGGGTCTCCTTGAACTCAATCTCCAACTGTTGCAGGATGGAAATAGCAAATGTGGCTGTCTTGCCAGTACCTGACTGAGCTTGAGCAATCACATCATACCCTAAAAAAAGTAGGATACATATTTACTGATCCCACATCAAACCGTCACTTCTAGTTTACACTATGTATTCCATTTGGAACATGAATTATGCCCAAATAATCAAGTGATCAGCAATGAGTATTCTCTTCATTTCAGGTCAGTCCCGAAAGATGATTGCCATCATTTCACTTTAAGGAATACAAGTAGGTACTACTACTAGTTCCCCAGAAGTTATTTTCCCTTTTATGGTCCAGCCTATGTAAAACCAGTAATTTCATTTTTTTATTAGTGTCAACTAGTTCTTTTACCTTTAATACAAGGAATAATAGCTCTCTGCTGAATAGCTGAAGGCTTCTCAAAACCATAAGCATAGATGCCCCGAAGAAGAGACTCCTTTAAATTCATATCGTCAAAGTTATCAACAATCTCATTCCAGTTGCTCTGTAAGTTTAAAAAAAAACGGGGGGTATAAATAGGATGTACAAACTCACCTCTTCAGAGTTTCAAAATCCACACCCATTTCTTACCTCGATGACACCATCGGGCTCCATTCCCTCTGGGCCGCCATGTTCTCTGCAGACAAGAACACTGCAGTTACAGACCATCCCTTCTCCAAGCCTCAAACCATTAAGAGGACGGAACTTTACAACCCGTCACCTCAGATTACCCTCCCCTGCACGTGTACACTTCCTCCGAAAAGAGGAAAGCAAGCTGGTGAAGCAGGACTCATAATGTAGCTTCTGTGCGCCTACCAAAAGGATGAGAACTCGGTATGCACGGAAAAGCGCCACGGCCGCCGACCCTTCCCCCCAAGCCCCGCGCTCGTCTAGGTGGCGGGCCCTCTCGCGAGAACTCCACTTGCTGAGCTCCGCCCCTTACAATGCGCAAGCTGGGTGATTGACGCGGGCAGAGGCCTGGCGAGGGCTATGCCAACGGTTAGCCGAGGCCACTCGGCGGGGCCTGTCCGGTGCACCTCACGGCCGGGCCGAGAGGGCGCCGCTGCCACCCTCCCCCACCCCACCTAAAGATTATGACTCCAACGCGCGCCGTTGGCCACAAATAAAGCTTCGGGCCTAGTTACACTGTATTGAATGCGGACTGCGCCACTGCTTAAACTGAATGTCAGCTCCGTATGGCTGGGCATGGGACACGGCCGAGACTTGAAAGCGTCTTCGGGAGAAAACACCACACCACTCCATTTCTGTACCCTTCTCTTGTCTCCCCGCAGTCCGGGGCCCTACCCATCATGGAAGCTTCTCGAAGGACACAGGGGTACTGTATCCCAAGGAAACGCCTATGAACCCAGAGTTCCCTGCCTCCACGCCAGCTCCTACAATCTCCAATGGCTTCACACGACCTTCACCACAAACAAGCACTACGAAAGAACCGCCGTACCTGTTATAATCCGCGGAGCCACCAGACATGTTCCGAAAAAACCACTCAGCGCCCGACTGAAAAGGCAGCAGGACCGCACCACCCGTTATTTATAGGCTCGCGGCCGGAACCCGTTTTCTGCGGAGGAATTTTCTCGTCACTTTTTCGGTTAGCCACAAAATTGTCATCCTGGGGTCCTTACCTCAGAAAATATCCTAAGAAAGTCGGTGGGAAATCCATCTGGTTATTTCAAAAAGATACTACAGGGTCGTCGGAAATCCCAGGACGCTGGAGAGAGACTGGGACTCTTTGCTTGGCGGCGGAAGAATATTGCAGCAAGCGGTGGCCAAACCGTGTTCTCCTCCCACCCTGCTCCTACGGGGTTTCCGCGTCCCTGAAGCAGAGGCGACCCCGGGGAGTCGGGCCGGACCGGGAGGCGGAAGCCTAAGGCGCGCTGCCTGCGGGTGGTCCGGGCTGGTTTTGCGGCAAGTGTGCAGACACCGTCGTTCGCCACGGGCGCTCGGTGTCGAAGAGGCAGGCACCTCTACATTGTGCACTAGAGGGGGATCGGGTTATTCCGCTCGATTAAATAGCGGTGGGAAAAGGCTATTTAATTTAACGGTAAAAAGCCGCCTAACCTTTAGCTTGGGCGTTTAGCAACCGTTCAGTTCTTAAAAGTGTGAAAACTCTTGCTAGAGAAAAATACAGGCCACTCAGCACGTTCAGAAAACCCGATTTACCCTACATTGAGCAGGGCGAGAAAAAACGTGTAGTGGCACTTGCAAATGGCTCTGGAGTAGCCAGCCAACTCTATTTTTCCCATGTTGCCTCTGATCTTTATCTCCCTTTAAAATAATGCTATAATTTTAACAGGTGTTAGGGTTGCCTGATAAAATCGTTGCAAACGTGTAATAGCTAAGAAAGAGTAATTTTCCTTGTAATGCAGGAATGTAAATGGATGCTTCTGACAAATTCAGTTTCGTGTTATTTTGGGACTAGATGGGTTTTGATTTTGGTCTATATTGGTCATTTAACAAGAGAAAGAACCGTGGCTAGTGTGGATTGGGTGCCGGCATGCAAACTGAAATGACCTTAGTTGGATTCCCAGTCAGGGCACATGCCTGGGTTGCAGGCCAGGTCCCCGCTTGGGGGCG